TACACACATAAAGTTAACAATGAATAACTCTCAACATAAATGAGCATCAAACTAGGATGGAAATAATTTACAGACACAGGACCGTTTGGTAGGGCTTTTGAAAAGCCAAAAATTGCTTATGAGACTAAGAATTTGATTTTAAAAATGTACAATAAAATTGCGAATGTATTTTATCGGGTTAAAAGAGATTTTAAGTAACTACTTTAGGAAGCTCATTTACAACAAAGGAAACCCTGCAAAATGGGTCCATAATATTTCAAAAAAAGGTATGTAAAGAATGGGAAAGCTACTTGCAAAAATTACCATATCGAGAACCGATCCCTTGGCACCTTGCAGAGAAATCTAGAGTTTCTTTGACAGTAATTTCTCCAACATGAACATCATTTTGGCTAATGTATGCGGATGTCTTCTGTGGGACAAATTCCCTTAGCTTATGTCCATTGTAAGTGATTTCTCCAACAGTCTGTTCCATATTTGAATGTTAAAAGTTTAGAATTTTTATTCTTTTTAATTTTTTTTTAGGTTCTGAAATTTCTGATGAATTCAACGGAGTTTGGAACCTTTAAGGAAGGGTCTAATTTTGCAGCCAGAGCCAACAGAAGGGTTGTCTTCCCAGAAGATGGTGGCCCCAATAGGAGAGTCATTCTGTCACATTTTTACAACTTAAACATCTCGTGGTCACAAAAATTTTGAATGCAAAACTTTTAGACGAAGCAGTTCAAGTGCTCGTCCTTTACCTTGATGGTTTTATAATCCCAGAAGCATCTTTTAGTATAGTGAGTTTTGTTTTGTCTGCCAATCTGATCCCAAAACAACTCAATGCTGTCTCAGCAATATTACGAGTTGCATTTAGCAGTGTTGGAAGAGATCTGTCGCCTATGAAACAATCTGCCTCGACAGTTAACTTCTTGAACCTAACTTCAACTGTCGGAAGGTTAATCCCAACTCTGTAGTCACAAAAAGACCTCTCGAGTTAAAGTCGTAGCTATCTAACAATTTAAACTATTATATGAAATGATTTAACAATAAAATGTCACGACAAACTATAGATAATTAACGTAGAATATGTTATTCTTTGATTCCTTGCAGAGTTAAATAACTTCATGAAAATATTCTCATTGGATCTTCCGTTTGTTTTTAACATGGTAGTACAAAACATTAGAGATAATTCAAAATATTAATTGCTGATGGAAATGGTTCTGATTAAAACTCGTATGAAAATGACTATATGGTTGGAATTATTCAGACAAAATTATCAGTTTGTACTGACTGATAGCACATATTTATAAGAACAAATCCACTCATGATTAATGAGTAAAAAAATGACAAAAAGAGACAAAAAAAATTAAGAATATTCTTTGTTTATGATTTGGAATAAAGGACATTTTTTCTTGGTAAGGGCACATCTACAATACTTAAGAAAAGTAACATTTTGCAACATGTAAACAGCAACATTCATTAATTGCATGTTGCTAAAAAGTTCATCACGACAGTTGGTAAACGCATGTTATCGTCGGTTAACTCAATTGAGATTTGACAATAATATTTTAATGGACATCGCTAATGTATCATTTTACAACATTCAAGGTCCGCGACTAAAAAAGTTTATATATTGCGTAGATTTAACAATGGACAATCATCTTTGCTGAAAAAAGTTAATATATGACATATTTTTGTAACGTTTTGTATTGCAATACTTTACAAGATGATAATAGTTAAGATTGTAAAATTGCGCCCTATAATCGGATATATTAAACTAACATCCAAATAGTGCTTGAAAAGCTTAAGTAT